ATGCCAGCCCCACCCCCCAGCGAGATGAGACAGCAACTGAGACTGGGTGTGGTATCGCGCACCTGTAATCCCAGCGCTTGGGAGGCTGCAAACAGGAGGATCACCACAAGTCTGATCTATGTAGTGAGACGCTGTAGTCCCTGTACTAAAATACATAAAAAATAAAATAAAAAGAACTTGTTGAAAATCTGCCTCATCTCAACTTGATTCTAAATACTCTCTGCATTTGATTTTACAACTGGCTCTTAGAGAAAGGTATTAGCCTTACCCCCTTTTAACAGAGGGAAAGCCGAGGCTAGATGAGTTAGGTACCTTGCCTCATGCCAAAGGCAGGCAGTCTCAGCCCTGCAGCTGCTGCTAATTCAGGAAACTCTCCCTTGCACTGTTCCCTAGGCTTGGCAAAAATATCAAAGACCTCACTGATGTTTTGATATTCATTACTTGCTGAAATGGTAAATGTTGTAGTCATACTGGATTAAGTAAAAACTTATTAAATTAATTGCATTTGTTTTTCTTCCTTTTTCTCAAATGTGGCAGGATTCAGGGATGAAGCTTGGAAATACAGTGTGTATTTGCAAGTAAGAGGACTGGGTTCAGTCCTCAGAATTATCAAAAATAAAACTTACCTTTCTTATTTTGTTGTTGTCTTACTTAGGTAGAGTAGTTCTGCGTGCTGCGGTTACAGGCATGTGCCACCACACCCAGCCACTAAAATTTTTAATTTGTGCATGTTGCTTGTATCTTATTCCTGTCAAATAGTGCTAGTTTTAGCAGTATTAACTCAGGTAAGTGTTAAACTAGTTCAAATAAGGGGTTCCTTTATTCATCACTTAAGAGGCCAGTTTCTTCCTTCCTGAAATATTTTTGAGGTCTTTAGTCCTTAATTAAAAATTTCTGGCACACAGTTTTAACGTTCTCAAAGCCCTCAGGCAGCTTCGAACTACTCTGTTGTAGTCAAGGAAGCAAGTGTTTCATCACGCCCTTTGAAACTGCCCCGGTTTGAGCACGTATTTCTTAGCTAAGTTACAAATTTACACTCTTACACAGATTGCATAACAGCTTTGCAGCCTTTTTTTCCATATTCAAAATAAGAGAAAGTTAAGAAGGAAAAAGCAAAATGGCAGAGACAGTATCAGTGGGCCCAAAGGAAATGTTTTTGGGGTGCAGCTTGTGGGGAGAACCAGGGAGCCAAGACAAGTAGACCAGGATCTCAGCTGCTTCCCTCCTGCCTGCAGTGGTCCAGTGGAGAGGGACAGTCCCAGGAAGTTGAGGGCTTTCTGCTGGAGCTCAGCTGTCACAGAGTAGAGTGTCCTTCCTAAGGATAGAGTCCGAGTGACATCGCTGTACACATCAGGAACTACTGCCCCAGATGGTAGCATTTTTCCCTTGCATGTGAACCTTAGCTTGCCTCCACTATGCCTCCAACTCTCTTCTATAATAATGGCTGATGTCCCCTGGCGCTCACCACGTATGGCACTTTTCACATGATCAAGTCCAGCCTCACACAGAGGCAGAAGGGAACCTTCCCGTGCCCTCCCTCTCCTGGGTTTCAGACATCCTGGGGATGTTCCACATTTCACAGCTAGAGAATAACTTTCCTCGGAAGGAACCATAGCTGGTGTCTCATGAGACCTGAGTTAGAGCACAGTTCGGTGGGAACTGGACTTACCCTTGATACCAAGTGGTTAGGACTTCGGAGGCTTAAGGGCTGGGGTGAGTGTATTTTGCTTGTGGCCAGATATGAGTGGAGATTACAGGCTGGAATTTGATGTCTAAAATGTCGCACAACCCCCCACCCCTCGCGTGACTGTGTTTGGAGACAGGGTTTAAGTGTTTCAGCGCCCAGTGATACATTTTCAGAACATCCACAGCTGAAACACAACAAAACCGTTAAAAAAAAAAAAAAAAGACTTTTAGAGCTGGGGAGATGGCTCATTATAATAGGTGTTGCCTGGCAAGCTCAGGAGCCTGAGTTTAATCCCTGGTTCCACAAAAAAAAAAAAAAAAAATTATCTTTAAATTCTCACTCCTTGAATTTTTCTAGGTACCCTATCTGAATTTCATATTTCATACAGAAATTTGAAAAAGATTCAGAACATTTCAATCTTCAGCATAAATGGGTCAAGGAGGAGTTTAGGAGTGAAGGAGACTGTGAGGTGGAGTGGTGGCGGCAACACCGTTGTACGTAAGGGAAGAGGAGCACACACTCTCAGAGAGAGGTCTGCTCTGCCAGCCAAAAGGGAGAACCCCAGAAGCCCAGGGCCAGTGCTTCTGCCTCAAGGCTAGCAGCCTCTGAGCTGTGAGACTCCACTGTCTGTTGTGAAAGACACTGTCTCTAGTGTCATCACAACATTACCAAAAAGTAACAGACATGAAGACAAAGTGCAGGGTCTCAGACATCAGCCGGCCAGCAGATGGCAGAGACAGGGTTAAGATGGAGCCTCCAACTGCTCCAGCCCCGCCACTCCAGCTCCCAGCCAGGAGGAGATGGGCAGAGCCAGACTCCGCTTCTTGGTGTCCTCCAACACCTGCTACCCAACAGTGTCGACTAAGTCATGGGCATCAGAGCCAAGCCAGCCAGGGACAAGTCTTGTGTAAGTCCATGGCACTAGGAATTCATTTTAGTAATGACCAAAACAAGAGTGGAAGTCAGGAAAAGGCAGAGCTTTCTTAGGCTTTGTATGGATTCTGTAAGTACAAGGTTTGTCATGCAGCTGTCAGCCAGTGCCAACTTCCATTACAAGGACCTAGTAGCCTGGAGTCATCCCTAGTAGTGAGGAGGAGACAACCTTCCAAATGGAAGTTTCCCTCCTAAGTTTAAATTCCCCATACAAACAGCAACTTCTACTCTATTCTCAGAGCTTCTCCTATAGCTGTTGTTTCACAAAAATAACCCTTCTGCTGACAAAGCACATTTTAGGGTAGCATATATATAGGACCTTACAGTACCCGTCTCATAAAGCTTTAACCAACGCAGCTCTATGCTTGGAACAATTCCTACACATAGTAGAAGCTCTGTGAATGCTAGTGGGTCTTATTATTTGTAACGTCTGACATAATAAATCACTGCATGTTCTTTTGGGCTTGTTCATCCTGTGTTTGATCCCCAAAGGCAAAGATAGGGAGTACCCACAAGGACACACACCCCATTCCTTCTGTCTCTTTCTCCTTCTCTCCCCCTCCCCAACACAGAGAGACTGTGCTTCCTGACTTGTTGACATTAGGTGTGGCTGCTGACTTGTTTGAGCCCATAAATTGCAACTGGAAGAGTCACTTTGGGTAAAAGATTGAACTGCTGCCATAACCTTCCCACCTCTTTTCCCACCTCTCTTTAAGTGGCATCCAGTTCACCATAGTGGGACAACAGTCCTGACAGTGGGAACACCAGCTCGGGGGAGGACCCTGGATCCTGGAGACTCTGATGATGAACAAACTGTCACTGCTTGAGCCCCTGGTGTATGGCAGCAGCATCACCTGCTCTACCCGGGGTGTGACAGTCACCATATCCCACAGCCTATCAGAAGGCCTGGCACATGAAAAGTGATTACACATGCTTTGCCTGGATTAGTAAGCTAAGATGTTTTAATCAGCAATTAACCTGAATGATTTTAATGAAACACATTATTTGAGTTCTGAAATCTTAGATTTTCTAACTGATTAGAACGAGTACCAAGCAATCATCTTTGCTACCAAAGCTACAGCTGCACATGTCCTGCATTCCATAGGGATCCCTTAGAAGTGCTGCTGAACTTCCACGGAGTTAACTGTTCTATGAAGTGGTCTTCAAAGGTCTTTACTTTCCCAATAGCGACACTTCCGTAAGTCCCCTGCCGACTACACCAGGCACCAGAAGGACCGGGAGGTCAAAATCACTGGAGAACATGTCTAACAAACTGCATTTGCAGTTTCCTTTAAAGAAAGGGGATGGGCCCTGGCCTGCCCTACCCACCAGTCCTCGCTGCAACAGGAGTAATACTTTTATCAAGGTACAAGAAGGAGTCAGTAAATCTGAGAAACGAAAGTAAAATCTGCGGGCGGTATGGGGCAGCCAGGCTGCTGAGAACTCCACAGCGCCAACAGCAAGGACAGCAGAGCCCCTGGTAGACAAGAAAGAATATGGGAAGGAAGGTGTACTCCAGAGACACCAGGCACCGCCAGACTTCATCCCCCAAAACCTAGCTCAGGTTTCAAAGACGGTGGGAACCCTGTTCATCCCAAACAGAGTGGCTTGCTGCTTCCACTGGGACTGAGAACTCTAGAGGAGGGAGTCCAAACGTGGGGGGGGGGGGGCGGTAGCCGAAGGTCCTTTGGATGGTGGCTTTGGACTCCACCTTCTCTCTAGAGCGGCTAGCAGCGGGGTGAACTGTGTGACAGGCCTCGGACAGGACAAATGCATGGCCCTCTCCCTCTCCGTGCAGGTAGCGTCCTGCCCTAAATATGCTGATACTCAGTGCCCACCTCAGGGTCATTGTGGGAAGTGGAAGACACAGTGAACACCTGCACAGCGCCTAGGCTAGCGCGCACACAGCTGTCACCCAGGAGTCGGCCTCACGCACCGACTCCTGTGACCACCTTTCGCCTTGGAACACTTGACTTATCTTCTTTTGTGCCTTTTTTTCCTCAAAGTTTTCATGTCCTGAGCATTGTCAGGAGTCACTGCACAGCAGCCGGCTGACCCAGACAGCGCCCTGGAGGGTTCTGCTCACAGCACAGGCGGCCTGCAAGGCTGGCGTCCTGTCCTGGGAGTGGAGGAGGTGCTGCTCTCCGGTGCCCTTGCCAAGTTGCCATCTCCTGAGGGGAGAACCAAGACGCCCAAGAGACGCTCCCCACACTTCTGCCTGGGCTTCCAACGGTCTCAGCCCTAGACTGTCCAGCAGGGGACGCCCTGGGCCAGGCTCCTGGGACCTGAGCGAGGCGGGAGGGAGGGACGGACGGACGACTGGGGGCGGGGGCAGGGGCAGTCCGCGCCGCTGGGCCGGGGGGCGGGATTTGGCAGTGGAGGCTCCAGCTCAGCGGCGGGGATGGAGCTGGAGTGCTCCAGGCGCGGGAGCTCACGCTGCTGACTGCGCGAGCCGCGTCTGGTCTTTCCCTTCTCGCAGTCCGCAGCCCGCGCCGCCCGCCGCCCCAGGACCATGGACGGCCGGGCCCTAGTCCTCCTGTGCTTCTTCGTGGCAGGTACGCGCCGTCCTCGGGGCACGGGCGGGGCGGGGGTCTCGGGGTTATGCTCGTTGTGGACGCAAAAACCGGTCCATTCCGGTCAGATTCGGTCTGACCCTTGTGCGGTGTAAGCGCCCACGTCCTGACCCGGGGAGGGTGCGAGGCCCGGTGCTCCTGCCCGGGAGGATCCAGCAGCGGGGTCCTTGCTGCTTCCTCCTGTGCCCGCGTAGACGCGGCGCGTGGGGACCAGCGGGCCACACCGCGGTCCGCGAGAGCCGCGAGCAGGGCGGCAGGGGTGGGCGCAGGGCCCAACGCCAGGAGGCTGAGTCTGGTTTGGCTGTCCGGGCGCCCCGGACCGTCAGTCTCCGTGCGTCCTGGCTCCGCGTGGGATGATGAGGCAGGACGGTCGCCACGCGGGTTCTGCTGTGCGTACTCGGGGGCTCCGTCCGCTGTGCGCTCCCGAGTCCTGGCTTTTGGGCTGTGTCCTCGGTGTCAGACACAGCTGGGTCCTCAACTCGGACACGGAGTCCTCGCCGCAGGGCTCCAGGAGCTTGGAACTGGGCTGGTCAGGGCGCAGGGTTCTGTCTGCTGCTCGGGTCTGGAGCCTTCGTTTCGTCCTTTTTTACTTATTTCTGTTATTTTGAACAGCCCGGCAGCTGGCAAAGCCGGATTAACCCTGACAGGCACTATTGTGGCTTTTTCCCTTGAGAGGCTCCGGAGTGTTGTCTGTGATTTGGGGTTTGGCAGTCTTAGCTTGGAGAGGAGCACTGGCCCCGTGGCCTCTGTGGGATCCTGTACATTCCGACCACAGCCACCCACCCTCAGGGACCTGGCAGTCCTGTGTACGTTCCCCTCCTGTCCCCGTGTCCGTCTCCAGAGTCCACGAAGCCGGTCCAGGACCGCCCTGCTTTTCTCCGAAGTGTGCCGGCCAAAGAGTCTCTCTAGGCTGCCTGTCTTACAGAGCTGTTTGCAGTAAATTGTGGGCCAAATAACCTAAAGAAAGTACAAATACCTCTGGAGTGCCTCTGAGTCAAAGGAAGGTGTTTTCAGATGTAAAAGACTTTCTGGGAAAGCGAGTCTGAGTCTGTTGTTGAAGGAGTGGAGTGTGCTTCCCTCAGGCTGTGCTTGGCTCTGGTCAGGCCGGAGATGACACTTTTCTTCTCTGCTTTCCCTCCGGCTTTAGCGGCTTCAATTTTTAAAATTATATCATCATCATTATCATCATTGCAAACCATTAAGGTTGATGCATTCTTGAGCCAAGAACAAGGTTGAGGAGCAAGGTCTTTGTGGAATGTGGGGAGTACCAGGACTGAGGACTGAGCCCAAGGGCACGGTACTACTGGGCTGCTTCTCCAGCCCTTTTGACTTTTGATTTGGAGATAGGATCTCACCAAGTTGCCCAGGCTGGCCTCGAGCTTGTGATTTCCCTGCCTCAGCCTCCTGTCAGTAGCTGGGATTACAGGTGCATCACCACATAAGCCAGAGGCCTAGTTTTTGGCGTCACAAATCCTCTCAACATACACATAGCCTTTCCTCCAGGATGCAGAATAAGCACTTGGCCATAAGTATACAGTCAGCAGTCCAGCCCAGGAGGAAGAGAGGAAAGCTGAGTAGTCTCCAGCTGCCTGGAGGCTGGTTTGCAGGGATACCAGCATCGTTCTGTTACAAACTCTTCTCGTGTCATGACTGCTAGCCTGAAGCTCCTGGACTCAGCCCTGCAGTGGTGCAGGGAGAGCAAGCCACACTTGATCGCCTTCTCCAGCCTTCAGAGCTTCAATTTTTAGGGCTTTAGGGCTGCTGCTCCTTCCCTCCCTTCCTGGCATGGCTCCCGCCTGATGTTCTGTGGCCCCATTTATTCACAATTCCCTCACCTAGAGATCTAAGAAACAGTGAAACTTTCAAAGGCCCCTTTGCAACAGCAGAAGAGGACAAAAGAGAAGTGCATTTTAAGTAGGGAGGCACAAGCCCATGCTCCTGCTGCTCCTGCCCATCTGCCTGGTCTCCCACAGGATGAGAGTGGCCACCCTGACAGGCACCCTGCGCATCCTGTTGCCCCTGATGAGCAGCACAGGACCCCAGCCGGCCGCCCCGTGGGAGCTAACTAACCTGCTGATGTCCTTGTCCTCCCTAGACGTTTTCAGCTCTGTGTCTGCTACAGGTCCTGATGCATGTCTGCTCAGTAGTCTTTTCCCAAATACATTAACACAAATCAGAAGTATGTGCACAGTCACAAGTATGGCAGGGCTGTCTGTGGCTTGCTGATGTGGTAGGGTAACAGGCCTTTCTTTGGCCTGAGATCTGAGGTCAGAGGCAAAGACAGGACACTTTCTCATGTGACACCTGACCTGAAAGGTAGCATCTTTTCTTTGTTACCTGATGCTCAGACAGAAGTAGGGCTTCGAGTGGTGAGCCATAGAGTCTTCCTGCTGCTGGATCCCTGACAGGCTTTGCTACAAGCCACATGATCCTGCATTTAGGGCTAGCACCTTATTCATTCTGTGTTATCTTCAAACTTGATGGAAATGAAACATCACAAGGCTGTGGCAAGTGTTAAATGATGGACTGTTCCTACAAGTAAACAATTCCAGGGATGTAGTAAGTGTGCCCAGTAAGCATTACCTAGCCAATTTCCTCTGATTATATTCTGTACTAGTGAGAGGCAGAGTTCTCTTTGGATGATGTAAATCAAAGATTTTCACTGATGTTTCAGGGCAGCTCTTCCTGCAAAAGCAATGAGCAAGTTAAGAAAACAGTCAAGCCTACCAAGTGACTAATTTTGGACAATAGTCCAAGAAATGCTCAGTAACAAAGAGAAGTGGGTTGGGGGTTATAGCTCAGTGGCACAGTGATTACCTGGCAAGTATGAGGTCATGAGTTCACTTCCTGGTACCAAAAACAAAAAACAAAAAACAAACAAACAAAAAACCCTTAAAAATAAAAGAAGTAACATCTCACAAAGGACTTCATTTCCTCCATGAGGAATTTTGCAAAATGGTGTGTTTGAAGATACTTAGTCAGCTAAACCTTAAAGGTTCGGTGCCCAGAGCCACAGCAGTTTGGAAAATTCAGGCCAGACAACTTGGATAAAGATGGGTCATTTTGTCTGAAAATTTTAGGATGACTCTTTCCAGAATGCTGAATCAATAATGCCCAGATTTTTGACTGAATGCAGCTTTTAGATCTGGTTTAATTGTGCTTTTGTTTCTATGTAGGAAATACTGGTCCAGTATTTTTACAGCTTAAGCAGACTTTTTAAAACAATAATTTCCCCTTCTGGAGAACAGCACCTACTGGAAATGGTGGATAGCAACATTTTTAAAATGTTTTCAACATACATTATCTGTCTTATTACCTGAAGTCTTCAGTAAAGGAAAGGAATCCTGCAGTAGTTGATTACAACTGTGTCCTTCCATGAAACCAAAGTATCTGTCCCTGAAACCAAAAACATGTTAGCATAAGAATAAATATGTTGGGCTGGGAAGATGGCTCAGCAGTCTAAGCACCTACCTGGCAAGCACAAGGATCCAGGTTCAATCCCCAGTACCACATTTCATGTCAGCCCCAGAACACAGGCCATTGAAACCAAGTGTCATGGCTCACAGCTGTAATCCCAGTGCTGGGAAGACTGAGACAGGAGGATCACTATGAGTCCAAGTTGCATAACAAGACCCTA